TTTATTTATTATTCATGTCTACAGCACCTGGTCTTCCTAGGTGGTCTCCCATCCAAATACTAACCAGGTCTGACCCTACTTAGCTTCTGAGATCGGACATCGGGCTTGTTCAGGGCGGCATGGCTGTAGACCAAAGACCATGGCTCCACTGGGGCGCAAACCCATGACCTTCTGCGTGTGAAGCAGATCTGCTAACCACTACATTATGGAACCACGTCCCCTCTGCTCATTTTTTAAATTTGATATTTTTGGTGTTGTTGATATGAATTCTTTATAAATTTCGGCATATAAATTTTTTTAAAACAAGTAAATTAGAGTACAATTATTCATATAAATATGCATTTCTTTTGCATAAAATATTTTTGTCTTAATGGGTTTCATTTACAATGTGTAAAATTAAAATGTGATTTGACTCCAGGAATTTACTTTAGGCAAAACACTGTAGATTTATCATGGGAAATTACAAACATAGGGATGGTTAGATATAATAATAATGGAAGATGGGGGACTGAATGGGATTGTGGAGGAAAGTTCCTTAGCGCTGCTGTGTTTTCCTGTCCTGGGTTTAGTAGTGAAGATGATTTTTCTGTATACAAGAGATGATGGAAATACAGAAAGTAGAAGTAACAAAACAGAACCTTGACTACCTGAATTCAGACCTTGAAAAGGACCTGCAGAGACTGGATAAGGCAAAACAGTTTCTTCTCAGAAAAATTCTAGAGAAAGAAGAAACTATTCAAAGGTCAGTCTTTGCTGTTGGTCAGAGAAGGGCTTCACATCAGAATACCCCTTGGGACAGAGAGAAGGTGGAAGGAAGGTTTACTTCTTTGTCCTTGACTCTTGGCGTGTTATTTAAACCCTGAAACATGCGATGGCCTCACCTTCATGCATAGGCTTTGCATTACATTTCCACATTAGGTTGACATTTTATAGCCACTGCATTTGGTAGTCACTCTGGCTCCCTGAGACCCTAGCAGTATCTTCCCAAGCTGAGGTCCTGGTAGCTTCCTTAGGACGGATCCACACCTGGGTGACTCTATTTTTCAGTCTGGAAAGAGAGATCACCCTGTTACTAGGAGGAACCAAAGAGAGGGAGGAGTTGAACCATTTCATATTTGAGAAGGAAGAAGGCCTGAGGGACCTGGAATTAGAGACAGCAAAGCTGGTAAGGAGGTGTTTGGAAAAGGCTCATCTGATGCATTTTGCTCACAGTCTGCTGTTCTCTCTTTCCCAGGGGTCATCATCGTGTGGTCACTGCTTCTGCATCTAGAAATCACAGTTGTTTTATCACAGCTCTAGGAACGAAGTGCTCGACATGGGGCCCTCTGTTCCCAGAGCCTCTGTGTAAAGCCAGAGTGCATTTTTCCCAGTTGATATACTTATTCCCAGATTTTATTTCAGTGGCCCAGTCAGGGGGAAGATACAAGAGCAGGGTAGGTTTGTCTCTTTATCTCTTTCTTTCACAGGAAAAAAGTAACAAGATTCTAAGCAGGAACGTGGTGGAGCTTTGGAAGAAGGTAAGGTGGGCTGTAGGTTTTCGAGGATCCCAGGATAAGTCCACCCTTGAAAAGAGGCTCATTTCTTAGGAATCACAATAGAGTCATCCCAACTGATGAACTCTCAGAAAAACTGGAGGAGAAACCAGCAAAACTTTTCGGCTCCCTCCTCACTGCAGCTTTCTGAATCTCTTAGAACAAACTCTGATTCATAGAACCATTAGTTTCAGGGCATTACAAATCAGTGATGAGAGAGCTAAAGGACTGTAGAGGGAGAAAAGATTTGTCTCTCCCTCTCCCAACCACTCCACCCCATTTTCGTTTCCCTCTTTCTTTACCCTCCTCGCCACCTATGCCCTTGTTTCCATGCGCTATGGGAACAAAAAGTTCTGTTCAGCTCACATGAAGTCAGGCAGCTTCCATAGGGAGAAGGAGACACTTTTTATTAAGCTTCTGTCTGAGATCTAAATTATGAAATATTATTCTGTAGCCTTGAGGACCACCCTCCCCCCAAGCCTGCCACTATCCCAGGTTTTCATGTCTGTATACAGTGCTCAGTTATGATATTGGAGATATTTCAGGTTTCACGGAGATTTAAGAATATTGGCCTTGATAAAAGAACCCCAAAGCAGAAATTAGCAGAACTAAAAGTAAATAAAAAAAACCTAGAGATTTTCTGGGAGATTTTGTGTCAATTCTAGGTTTTGGGAGGAACGGCTTTCAAGGACTCCCCCAGGCTAGGTATATCTATCTGTATGTTTATCAGAGGTGAGCCAATGTTCTTGTTTCCTCTACACCATGATAGGAGGGCATTCATAACATTATTAGTCACACTAGTGGCAAAGGTTACTGCAATGACAAATAAGTGGAGAGAATTGTTGCAGAGAGCTCATCACCCATTAGTCAATAGAACCCAGGGATCTGAATGCTGTTGGGACCTGCCCTCAAGAAGTTTATGATCTAAATGACACAGAAATACAAATAGGAAGATATTCAAATAGGAAGAGAATACTAACTTCCACAATTATACAGGGATGCGTCAACGATCTTGATTTTCCAACCCATGGCTTATAAGCCAAGGAAGTTTCATTTTTTTAAATTTATCTTTTTCTTCTACTAGAAGGTAATCCAATGAGGGCGTGAATTTTTGTCTGAATTTTCACTCCTATTTCACTCCTATTCCTCCAGTGCCTAGAACAGTGCCTGGCATATAGTAGATATGGCAATTTGGCTGAGCCCACCAAGCCAGAGCCCTGTTGTCGTGTTTTTCTCTGAAAAAGAGGCATGAGGTTTCTCTTTTGCTCTGTGATTCAGATGACATGTGAGTGTACCCTTTGGAATACAGAGAGAAGAATAGGCTGGTAAGCTTTGGTCAGTCAGACGGGAGGAAGGAGGATGGTTAGGCCCACAAACTAGGCAGTCAGGCGACCAAGGCTTAAATGTCAGCTCAGCTACTGCGTGACTTTTAAACGAGTTATGCACTTAACTTTCTTTGTCTCCTCATCTGATAAATGGGGTTTATAATAATGCCCCATTTATAGTATGTCTTCAATATATGATAGTCATTATTATCATGCTCTTTGCTGGTCTAGAGGAAGAGTGATCATTACCCATTTGCTTTCCAAAAGGAATGCTATTAATATTCTGCTGTCATTCATTGTCTTCCATAGATGAAACTACAAAAATCAAGAGAGTCCTGTGCAAAGCAAGAGAAGGAACTGGTCAAGGTAGAGGCAGTATTTTCTCCACTGAGAGTCTGTCTAGAATATAAATGAGAGAGAACCCAAAGGTCTTAGGAATAGAATAGCTTGAGAAATGGGAGAGGGAGGAGCAAGTACACATGGCAGGTGAATTTCTGATTTATGTGCAAGTAAAGGGAAAGAAAGCTTATATTAAAAGTACCGGTCTTATTATTTCTTAAACACCCGTCTACCTCAAATACTCACATACTATTGTTGAATCCCAAACCTAAGTGCCCTGACATCTGATGTTTCACTTGAGAGGCATTTGACAACCTGGGGAAACAATTTCCTTTACTCAAAAGTAGACCCTGCACATGAATGATGAGGTCACTGCTTTGTGATGTGGCTGTTTTCCCTTCAAGTAAGAAGTTGCTAGGTAACCAGCCAACTGTCCAATGTACATGTTAGGGTCTCAGAGAGCAGCCAAACTTGGTTCTGATTTAACTGATGAGATGTGTTCATTTCTTTTCTTTCTAGATAGAGAGCAACTACCAATCTGTGTATCAGCTCTGTAAGGACCAAGCCCACTACATAAAGGTACACTGCCTCTGGGGGAAAGTCAGAGTAGAGGCAGAATTTCTCCAAAGCCATGGGTTCCCTGGTTTCTTGTTATCTGCCACTGGGAAAAATGAAAATGTATTTTATACAACAGCAACAACAACATAGTTGTATGTTAAGGATTTACTTTGTACCAGGCCCTGGCATGTATGATATTTTTAAACACTCAACGTATGGCACTTTTCTTAATAATTTTTGTCCAGTAACTCTATGGGGATGTAATTGTTATAATCAAGAGGACACAAAGGTTTAAAGGAGTTAAGGAATGTGCTCTAAGAACACAGTTAGTGTTAGTAAGAGTCAGAGCTGGGATTTGAATGTAAGCAGGATTCAAAGAGAGAACTCCTTTTTTTTTTCATGTCTATTCATCTGGTCACTAATGTGTCCTAATTTTTTATTAGAACATTGCCATACTTGTGTGTGCACACATGTATGCACCATCTGAAATATTAGAAATTAGTCTTAGGGGAATCTTTCATCAATGACACTGTAGTAAAATACGTAGAAATTCTTGATTATGACAATTTTTTTTATTTCCATGGGAAGAAATACCAGGAATCCTGAGGCAAATGGAAAAGAAAAAGGAGGTGCTGCTTCTTGAAAAAGAAGTGTAAGTTTGGACAAATGACCTCCCTGATGGACTGAAGTGACGGTCTCTAGGTGGTCTTTGAAAAGCAAAGTATTTCTCAGACCAATTTGTGTCACTATAAATGGCCCCCAACAAGTCAGCCTCTACTGCATATTCTAGACTGAAAAATCATCTGTACTCAGGCTTCTCTCTTGCCTTTCTCAGCAATCAGTGTTTAAAAGGTTTCTTTTTTATGTCCTTTTCATGTATCCTCAGTTGAGTGTTATTCTTGAAAACTTGACTTGGGCTAGTTTGACAAGAAGAGTTCTAGTAAATAAAAAGAGGGCAGGAGACTTAGCAGTGTTTCTCCATATGTGTGTCTGTCCCCAGTGATAACCCTTTACACACGTTCTGTATCTATAGACTTATATATGGCTCAGAACTTGACATACCTTTCCTTTTGTTTATACTTTTAAACTTTATTATGTATTATATTGTGTAATATACATGGAGTGCACAAATCTTAAGCATACTGCTTGGCAAATTTTTTATACACATACATCCACATGTTAACACCACTCAGATCAAGATATAGAACATTTGAATACTCCAGAAGGCTCTGCACCCTCCTCTGAGTCAATACTCCCATGAAAGGTATCCACTATTCTGACTTTTACCATTTTTTATTGGTTTTGTCTGCTTTTGAACTTTATATGAATTCAGTACATTCCCTTTTGTGAACCTCTCACTGAGATTCATTTATGTTGCTGCGTGCAGCTATGTTTTGTCTTTTTCATGACTGCATAGTATTCCATCGTATAAATATGTCACAGTTTGTCTATTTTACTGTTGATGAACATTTTGGTTAAAGCCAAACAATTTTTCAAAGTTGCTGTACCAAAATCTCCTCCCATGAGACATTTGTATGGGTTTTAGTTACTCAACATTTCACTTTCACTTGGCATTTATAGTCTCATTTTAGCCACACTGGCAAGAGTATAGTGATATATAATTTTTATTTTATATTGTATTACTGATTACTAATGATGTATATATTTTCAAATGTTTATTGGAAATTTGATATCCTCTTTTGTGACATGTCTATTTGGGAGATTGTCAGTCTTTTTCCTATTAATTTCTTGTTTATTGTATTTTTTTTTTGATAAGGTAATTTGCCAGATATACAATCTATTCTATGGCTTTCCTTTTTTACTCTCTTAATGAAATCTTTTGATAAACCATAATTTTTAATTTTAAAGAAATCTAATCACCAAATTTATTAATTTTTTTTTGCTTAGTGCTTTCTTTGGATCATAAAACTATTCTCCTATGCTTTCTCCTAGAATTATTTCATTGTTTTCCTTTTACACTTACATTTACATTCATCTGCAATTTTTTTTTTCTGTAGTGTGAAGTAGAGATCAAGATGCATTTTTTTCCCCTGTATAGATAACCAACTGACGCAGCACCATTTGTTAAAGAAACCATGAGTTTTCAGTGGTGCCTTGTTTTATAAGTCAGGTGACCATATATGTGTGAGTCTGTTTCTGGATACTTATTCTGTACCATTAGTCTATGTCTCTATCCTTGTGCCAATACTACACTGTTTTAATTACTGTAGCTTTATAATTGGTCTTGATATATCATGGCTTAAGTTCTGCAACCTTTTGTTCTTTTTCAAGATTACCTTGGCTATTCTTGACCATTTGAATTTCCATATAAACTTTTAATTAGTTTTTCAGTTTCTAAAAAAATCTTGCTAAGAACTTTATTGGAACGTAATGGAATCTATCGACAAATTTGGAGGCTAATTAATGCTTAAACAACACTGAGTTTTCCAAACCATAAACATCATTTCCCTGCATGTATTTAGATCTTTTTAAATTTCTCACAATAATGTTTTGTAGTTTTCTACATCTACCATCAGATTTAGTCCTAGATATTTTAATGCTAAATTCACTTATTCTAATAATTTGTTTGTAGATACTTTTAGGTTTCATCTGTGAATAATAACAGTGTATACCTTCCTTTTTAATCTTAATACTTTTTAATTTTTTTCTTGCCTTATTGAATTAGCTAAGACTTTTGGTACAATATTGGCTAGAGGGAGGGGTCACAGTGTGGCATCTTTGACTTTTAAGTGCTTGATATTTAACCATTAAGTATGGCGTATGGGTTTCTAATAGACATTCTTCATCAGATTAAGAAATTTTCCTTTTATTTTGAGTTTGCTGAATTTTTTTTTTAATCATTAGCAGGTATTAAATTTTATTAAGTGCTTTTTCTGTATGTATTAAAAAGATCATTTTTTCTCTCTCTCTCTCTTGGAAATGTACCAGTGCCCTTTCATGTTTAACAGTCCTTGAACTCTGACTTTTACCCCCCAGCACTGCATGCCTACTCCAATCTTTGCTCAGCTCTTTAGGAATCTTCTGTTTTCTAGCCTTTCTTGGAATCTGGAGCTACTCATGCACAGCCTTGACAGGGCAGTTCATGCGGATATTTGAACTCATTTCTCTTTGGTTCTCTCCCCGCTCAGATGTTTCTCTTCAAGTCATAGTCATTTTGATGGTCTTGAACTTCACCCTCTGTCTCCTCAGCCAATTAATGCTGCCACTTGCTCTTTGGACTCTCTTCCTTATACCACAAATTGGCAAGTGCCCTTTGGGAAAGCCCGGATAAATGAGGAGCTCACCTCAGTACATTTTACTTCGCTCAGGGTTTGTATCCCTTCAGCTTCTGACTGCATTCTTCAATGCATTCAAACAGCTATTTAATGCATTTTGTCCGGTTTTCGTAGTTGCTTTTACAGTTGGTCTAGTCTGATATAAGCTATGCTATCATGGCCAGAAGCTGGAGTGTGTACCACTTCTCTCTTTTTTCCTCGATTTGATGATTATGAAAAGTTATTCCTATGAAAAATCTGAGTAAGCTTTTCTGGACCTGACCCTCTGGCAGGAAACAGCTCTAAACTCTGGGTGGCAAAACAAAACAAATGAACGAACAATTAGAAGGCACTGGAGAGTGAATTAAAACAGGTAGATTCTGGAGGTGAGGTGACACATGGAAGAAGGAAATGGCAGAGGTGATTTCCCCATTTTTATCACTCTTGGCCTGAAGGAGGCTAAACTTCATGTGTGAGGGGCAATGGAAACACAGGGAGAAAACCCATTGTCTTCCTGAGCTAAAAACCAGAGGACAGAGTTCTGGACGGTCAAAGCTTCTGGATGAAAAGCAAAGAGCCAGAGATGGAGAGTCTCACATTTTGTGTCTAAACTCTGCCCCAGCTGCAAACTGACCTCTAAACCACGCATGCTCAGCACAGTCTGTGAGCAGCCCAGCTGAGGACATCAGACCTAACCTGGGATTTGAACTGCCACCAAGAGACAGACTTTTTGCAATTTGAATTCGACCTCAGGATTATGGCAGGGTTAATCTTCAATGATTCTTTTCTCTCGAGAATGGAACACATTTTACTGGTTCTTTGTATGCTGAGCCCTTACGAATTTTGAATGTTGAGCACTGTGAATGTTATCAAGAATCTAGGAAATAAATCATAGATGTTGCATCGCTTTCATCAGCCCCTCAGATTATGTAATGTAATTATTATCTGATCTTTTTCACACAGATTCAAAGCCCAGAACAACTCCTCCCATGTAGTGAAACGTGGGTCAATTCAAAACGTTCAAAACAACACGGTAAGTCTTTCTCATCCCAAATTGGAGTTTCCTCTGTCCCTTCTCCCCTGCCCACTACCTTCTTCTTACTAACTCTAGCATTAGGAAATAATGAGGTTCAGTACCGTGCTCAGCTCCATGGCAGCTATAAAGTGGCGGAGTCAGGATTCAAAGCCAGGCAGCCTGACCTCCTGGGTTTAAGCTCTTAGCCACCCTACTATACCGCCTCTCTGTGAGCATGTGGACAGGCACAGCTGTGGCTTTCTTTTCTTCCCACAGGAGAAGACCATTGTTAAGAAACAGAAGAGAATTTTTTCGTACAGGTAAGTGATAGAATCTTGTGTCCCCCAGCCACCCTGGTCTAGGCCTCATTTACTCTGTAGAAGCAAGTGGCTTATAAGAGCATAAGGAAAAAGAATAAACACATCCACCAACCAGAAAATACCAGGCAGGTCCAGATTTCTCCCAACTCTTCCTTCTTTTTGTCAACACCAGAGTTATACAGGACTTGGTGTTTGGAGAAAGTGGCTGTTTCTGAGAAGTTCAAGATGAAGGCTGCAGGTTGCGTTTCACTTTCACATTCCATTCTTATGATTCCATTCTTATGGCCTCTTTCTATTTTTCAGACCCCGAACCTGGTAATCTCTGCTACACTCAGCTGGCGAGAAAGTTCGGGGTGCATTAATTTTCTTAATTCTTATATTGTAGTTCTTTTAGGAAAAAAAGTCACTTGAACTCTCTGTGCCTTAAAAAATTTTTTTTAAGAGAGTGATTCTAAAATGCTTTTGTGGCACTTTAAAGTATAGCTTCAATTTATGACATTTTAGTACAGCTGAAAACTGAAAAGTCAGTTTTCAGGGTGGAATTTTCTTAGATGCACAGGAGAAACACACATACATAACACACACACACACACACACACATACCTTGTATCGTTTGAGTTGCTCTTTTCCAGCATTTGATGTTTAGAAAAAGCTAATCCTAATAATTTTACTTGGATGTTAATATCAGAGATGGCTAGTTTTATTTCAAATTCTAGAATTGCTTGCTATAGTGGACCTGAAGAAGGCCACTGGTCATGAGACTCACAAATGCGACAGTCCTAGATATTTTCTGACATCCCCAGAAGGGCTCCTCCATATATAGTACTTGGAAAGTCTTCTCATTTGTACCCCCAACTTTTCTATGTGGACATCTATTCAGTTGGAGGGCTTAAATATCAGGAGGGCTGTATTCAATTCCTAACCACTACATCAATCTTCTGTTATCACCTACCTCCTACCCTCACTCTCACTTTCTATCTCTCACTTTCCTATCAGTTTTGCCTGAAGAAAGTAATTCACTGGTCATTCAAGGATGGTGAGGTTCACCTCCTATTACTGGATCCCGGGCTGTCTCTTTCCCCCATGCTAATGATGAATTTCTCTTTGCAGGCATTTCCGGTGTCTTGTCTTCATGGTCATGATGTTCATTAGGCTGCTGAGTTATGTGCTTTTCTACCTGCAGTACATAAACCCAGACCTTCTTGTGAATGCCCTTCCCATGATAATGAGCAGGGACACATTGAAGAGGCTGAGGGACATCTTATTTCCCCTCCTCACTCTAGAGGTGGAAGAAGTTCTACCACACTAGTCCGGAATGACTTGGGGTTGGGAGGCTTCACACCACACCCCAGTGAAGAGGGGGGCATGGTTTTGCTTTGTGTGGAGGATGGGCCAGGAAGGAAGTAGGAGACTTGACTCAAAGCTGCTACTCTGTCATCTGACCTCTTCATTTCTTGCTCTTCCCTTGCTTTCCCTCTGGAGTGTCTCCCTTTGAAATAGAGTATGTTTGACAAAAGTACATGTGTGAGTCTGTGAATTTGGTCTGTGAGTCCTGGGGCTTCACTAGGCACTCACAGTTTCCACCCTGTGCAGCTGAGAAAAGCTGCACTTAAAATGAGATAAGAAAAACTCCCCCTGGACTTCCATTCTCTGCTCCATAAAAAAAACAAAAAACAAAAACAAACAAAAACAAACAAACAAACAAAAACGTAGAGGAAAAAATTATGGCTTAATTTGTTAGCTTTCTGTTAGCTTTTCTGTTCGCTGTGGAGTGGACACAAAGGGCATTTAATTAAGGAGCCACTAGGTGGGTATAAAGCTTGCTTCTGTCTAATATTTTACCAACATATTACTCTCCCTAAAGCCCTTTTATTTTATAAGGCTATATCTCATAGGAGTAGGATGTCCTTAAAAGCTGATCTTTTTCATGTACACAGATGGTTACTCTTCTCAATTGAGAAGAAAATTACCCTAAAATTTAAGTGCCATATAAAAAGCAGTGTGTAAAATCAGAAGATGCTTTAGACATAGTAGGCATAGCCAAACACAATTTGTACCTACCTATCCTTCAAAGCCTAATTCAAATGTCATGTCTCCCATAATGCCTCCTTAGATCCCTCCTTTTCATCTCTGATCCATCCCTCTGAGACAGCCACACTTGCCCTTTTCTGAATTTTCCTATACCTTTTCTGGGCTTCCCTCAGTGCCCTGCCTATTGCTACCTTGTAGTGTCATTACTGTGTGTCTTGACCGTAGGGCACATGAACCCTTTATTCTGTACCATCCCAAATGGCCCCTAGCACAGTGTCTATACAAAGCAGGTACTTAGTAAAAGATGGAATGATCCTTTAGAGAATTTGTATTTCTTTTCTAGGGCATCTGGAGGGTGGTAACGATTGGAATCCTGAGTCTAGACCTTGTGTTGCAAGAGCTCACTCTTGCTGGTACAGCCAACTGAGTGTTGATGGTGGAAAGGGAAAGGAGGTAGAGGGATATACCATGGAATACAAGGTTATGTGGTCAGCTGGTGGTTTCTGTAGGTTACCGAGGCTAAGTGGTGAAGGTACCATGGTAGCTCCTTCCACCTACGTATTCCCTAGGCTCTTGCTTTCTGGTGACCTTTTCTCTTTTCAACATCATTCTTGATACAGGTTTATACTGAATTTCACTTGGATAGAAATGTAAGGGTAGAACAGACACAGTGCATGTTTGCTTTGGCTGCAGACATGACCCTGTCCTACTTTTTTTGCAGGGGTGGGAGGGGAGACTGAGGGGAAGAGGGTGAATTGTCTCAGAACAAGGCTCCAGAATACGAAAAACTGATCAACACCACCCTCTTGTGGCCAAATGAAAGCTCTCTGCATTTCGGCAGGGTTCACCCAAAAGGCAAGAGTGCAACAAGCAAGTTGAAACAAGGAAGATAGATTAGTTGTCACTCCTGGGCAGTGCTCTCTATGACCTCTAATAAGTCCAATTAGTATTCATCAATTCATTCAACAAATATTTATTGAGCTGCTTTCTTGGACCAGGCACTGTTCTAGACACTGGGATTAGAGCAATGAACAAAACAGACAAAAATCTCTGCCCACATTCTAGTGGGTAGAGGCAGATAATTAACAAATAATTAAAATATAAAAATCAGATGATATCAGGTGATATAAAAACATTAGGTGGAGCAGGAGGAAGGGAGCACTGAGCAGCAGCAGTTGCAAAGTCTACTTGAGAACTGGCATTATAATCAAGACCTGAATGAGATGAAAGAGCCATGGACGTACCAAGGGAGGTAGCATGGCCAACAGGAAGACGGCAAGTACATGGCCTTGAGGCTGGAGTGTGCCTGGTACATTTGAGGTTCCTTAGCTAATTCCCTGTTCACACCTGTGTAATGGTACCTTCATTAAGCTGGAATCTTCTGAGTTAAATTCTGGTTCTTGCAAGTACCGTGGCTGATACACTGTTCAGTGGCCAGAAGCATTCATTAGGCTGAAGGGTTTCCACTTTTGAGTAATTCTAGGGCTACAGGTGTGTGGGAAGAAAATGGCACCGATCAAGAAATGAACACACAAAGTATCATCTCCTGAGTCCTTCTCATCTCTGGTTACACAATCTCTCATAAGCTCACGGAACTCTTAGGCTCCTCCACCTCCCAGCACATCCTACAATCACATTCTAATCAGATGTGGGCCCACAGGACTAGGAAATTTTGCTTAGGAAATTACAGACCAAGCAGCCCCTAACTCGCAGTCAATGATCCAATGGGGATTTGAAAGCTTGAAGCTGTGCTGGAAATCCATGCTGCAGAAGCACAGTGGCCTTTTTCTGCCACCCAGTGAGTCTGCTTTCAAGCAGGCAGCTGGCCCTGGGGCCTGGATGGCATTCCCAAGTCTGGGGAGCGGAAGAGGTGTGACCGACCGCTGTTTTAAATGAGCCGTGCTGAGGCGGACATCTGACTTCCAGTAACTGGGAGCTTATCACCCCCCAAATATCCAGAAAGATTATGACAAAATAATATAAAGCACCTAGCATACAAAGGGCATATGGTAGGTATTCAACCGACATGTATTTCCTTTCCCTAATATTAAAGTTTGCCTTCATCTAGTAGCTAATTTTAGTTCTGCCTTATAAAGCCACACAACAAAATGACTGTCTCCTTCATATTTTAAATCACTAAAATTGAAAGGCCTTCTGTTCTCCAAATGAACATTCTCAAGTCCTTTAAACTGTCACCTGACATGGCCTCCAGATCTTGTATTATTTAATTTACTTTTCCCCGAACACTCGCTGAGCTGAACAGAATATTACAGATGAAGTCTGACTGGCAAAGTACAGCAATATTATTCTCCTTTTATTCTGAACACTATGTCTTTATTAATGCTTCCTAAGATTTCATTAGCCATTTTGGAGGCTGTATCGCACAAAGACAATGAGCTTGGCATCAACCGAAATCCCTATAATCCTTTTGAACATGAATCATTCTTACTCTACATCTCTACTGTTTTGTATTTGTACAGATTAAAAAACAATTCTAAATGTAGAACTTTCTATGTGCTCTGTTAAATTTCGATTTGTTGGTTTGGCCGCCTCATTTTAGCCTGTTGCAGTCATTGAAAACCCTGATTCTATGAAGGAATTGGCTAGTCCATTTAGTGACCGGAGACACCTGGTAAAGTAGACATTGCTGAACGTTAGATGCGGAAAGGCTTGGGTGTGACTCTTCTTTGGCCTTGTAATATTTTTTGACCCCAGGCAGCTGGTTAACCCTTCATTTAAAGTAGTCAGGTAAGTAATAACACTCCCAGGAGCAGGATACAACAAACAGCTGCAAGTCCTTTCAGTATTCTGAAATGGAATTTCTTTGGGTCTGGGGACTCAAATTCAATTAAATGGATTAGGCCCTTTCCTTGTATCTTCTTACCGATCTTAAAACTTAATTACCTGTTCACTATTTTGGACTATCCTTTTTATCACACTAAAGATCAATTTCCTTGATTAGAGAAGGCTAATGTGAAATAGGACTCTTATCTATTAACATTACACCTCATACCCTAAGGAGTGATCTATCCCTTTCATCTCTCCTGTTTCAAATACAGCACCGCAAATGCCTTTTTAAAAAAATATATACTTTATAATATCTTTTTGAAACCCCAGCATTGTCTTGGAAAAAAAAAAAGCACTGAATAAGGAGTCAAAACTTGGACCCTGGTCCCAGCCTTTTTGTCATTATCTGAGTTTATACTAGCCACAAACTCTCTGAGCCTGAGGTTGATTTTGGGTGTTTCTAATATTGTTCATTCTGACTTTGATTCTATGAACTAGTACATTCAGGTCCCAACATGAGCGTGAAAGAGCTGTCTTGCTAACTTTCTCTAAGCCTGTCAGGCTTCAGTCCTCCCAGCAAACTGAGCCCTCTCCTGCTCTTTTCTCTTTCCCAGGGCATCCTGCTGGAAATCTGGAAGTGCTTCCATAGCTCGCTCTTCCTTGTTGGGAGTCTTACTGGGTGATGCTTCTGTAATTCTTATCTTCTTGAGAAGAAATAGTCTGTCTTAAGAATGAGTTAAGAGGGTTGGTTTAAAGGCTTAGTTCAACAAATATTTATTGAGTTCCTCCTGTGTGCCAGGCCCTGCACGATTAATGCACTGGGATGCAGAGGAGAAGGGAGGGGGAACAGTTCAAGAAATAAGCAACAAATTATGTTCTCAAAGACTCTGAATTTTGTAGCAGATTCCAGAACTCAATGTCAAGTTTAGAGGTAACTCTAAAGCTTCTGTGAAATATAAATGCTGACTTAATGAGGGCTCAGAACTACCAATACTCACATTTATTGATCATCTGCTATACTGCAGACATTGTGTTAGTCACTTCCACATGATCTCCATTTCATAGTTTGGTGAACTGCCTGAGATTATCCAGCTAGTAAATGGCAGAGCCAGGGATCATGGACCACCTCTGGACTCCACCAGGACACCTGCCTTTCATGTTTCAGATACAATATAGATCTTCGAAGTCATCTTCAAATCCAATATCAGTCTGCTAATCAGTAGAACTATTGAATCAGTAATTGTAATCGGTTACTTTTCCATTACCTATTTTCCTCTCTCCTCTATCATTGGTTTAAAGTTACTATGGAGATCCGACATCATTCCATTTGCTGTCTTAAATTTTACTTTGGAGGTTAATTATACCTTTAGTTAAATGATTCTCATTAAAATAAAAAAAGTCTTGGATAAATGCTTTATTAAGCCATTACAGACCATTTATACCCTAGTATGATTATAATGTGGGAGAGTTGAGTTTTATAGAGAGAGCCTG